AGATAGGAGCTCTAGTTCTCAGTTTCAGACACCTGATTCCCAACCAGATGACAAATATCTGGGCCTCAGACTAAGTCACCCATTTCTTGCTCCAGCTTGTTCAGCTTGGTTTGAGTGCCAGAGCTTCTGTTTTCTTGGCATAAGCCCACAGGTGCTCCATGCTTGGCTTCTGTTCTGCTCAGGCCCTGGTGCCCATGCTCTGGGTGCGTGTGGGAAGAATCAGTGTTTTTCCACTCAGTGTTTTGATGAAGCTGGAATGCAGTATTCTACCCTTAATAGGTCATTAGTGCCGTGGTCGCAGGATGCAGCCTTCCCCAATGACCACGAATGATCAAGTCTCTCTTGGAATTCACCTTCTTTCTGGAAGGGAGAGGCTTTCCCAAGAAAATTGCATATGGGAAGAGCATGGTCTGATGCCCAAGATTTCCTCATTTCCTGTTAGAGAATGAGGTTAATTTTATTCCCCTTAAATTTGTTAGCAAACTGATTTTGAACTAAGCTGTTGGGATTGGTAGGATCCCTGGGAGCAGCTAGCCTACCCTGCCTTACATGAAGCCTCTAAGGAGTCCTGGATCCCTCTCACCTTTGAGAGTGGCATTATGATTTCATTAGGCATAAACCATCCCCATCAATGGCATGTCACCAGAACTGCCTTAAGTCTGTTGGAGTTGGATATCCTATCGCCTCACCTTGACTTCCTTTGAGAGACTATTCTGGGGGAGCCAGCATTACCCATTTGTCTCTAGAGGTGGATGCCAAACCATTGTGTTTGGAACTCACACTCCTTAAGTACCACTGTGGTGTGTGTTGCTAGTGTGTGGAGCCGAGTCAAGTGCAGTCTCTCCAGTGCAGTGTCCAGGGCAAGGATCGTACGAGTGTGCCTGTCCATCGTCACCGAAGGAAGGGCAGGAGGACAGCCCTCCTTGGAGGTGGTGAGCACCAGGGGCCCTGACATGGCCACATCACTTGGTTGCCCTCGTGACTCTGCTCTCCTTTCCCCCCTGTGCGTTGGAGACAGTTCTCGGGTTAGGGTCCCAGCTTGAGAGTCATCATTGCGGTTGCAGCAGCGCCTTCGAGGAGTGAAGAGTTGAGCCTGAGCCATGTCCAACAAGCAAGCACCAAGCTGATGGGAGTCGCTCTCCTGCAGTGCACTGCTATCCTCATTTCTCAATGCTCTGCAGTTGGGAAGCTAGGTGCACAGACTGGATTCCCCTTGGATCTAGTGGAGGATTAGGGTCCCTGACGGAGGATGCCCTGTGCTCCACAATCTCATATGTGCCTTAGAGGATTCACGCTATCCAGGTTGTGCCTGCTACAGACCACAGATTTCACACCAGCCAGCTACGCAACCAAAAAAAAGCAGTTTAAAGCCAGCCCCTTCGTCTTGGGCTGAAAACAGAAGTGCAAGTGGGCAGAAGTGCCTTTGAACAGATTCAAACCCTGTTTACTTCTCCCTGTCTTGCAGTGCTAGCTCCGTATGTGTTGGTCTTCTGCTAGTGTTGCTACTGAGTTGTTATAGTGGAATGCAACTTATGCCTGCTTTGACACTCTGGCTGAAAACTAGTTTGTCGTTGTCTTTTTTGAAAGGTTAAAGGGTGTAGTGGTTTGGAGTTTCTGTTTAAATAAATGTTTAAACTCTTTCTTCTGTGTTCAGAGAAATTTTTCATTTCCAAGAGAGGAAGGGGGAATACTCGTACAGTGAGCTGGATTTGTGTAGTTCTGTTGTTGGATTTTTTTCTTTGCTCACAGAAAGAGGGTCAAAAGGGATTGCAAGTTCTTTGCTGTGTGAAAAAAAAAAAAAGTCAGCTTCTGTGTGCCTTCATTTAAAAAATCCAAACAAAAGCCAACAAACAAACAACAAAACAAGTCTTTTCTCTTGCTGCTGCATGTCCTAGTGACGTCAGGAGGCTTTTGTGTGTGTGTGTGTTTATTTCAACAGTTTGAGTGCCAAGTAGGAAATGAGTAACGGTAAGAGAGGGGCTCCAAGGGAAGCAGAACCTGTTTCTCTCAGAACAGCTTCTACTGAGCATTAAAGCCTACAGAAGGGAGAACCTGCTGGACACCTGCTCAGCCAGCTGTTCCCACACACTGTTCTTTGTGCCTGTCACTGCTAACTTTTTAGCAAGGTTTTTAGTAAATCGCTAAATGTCTTGAGAGGCAGAGCTGGGTTAGAGACTTAAAATTTACCAAGGATTTGGGTACTGAAAATGCAGCATGTCTCCAAGAGGGGCATTGTACAGCAGCAGCAGAAGAGGAATCTGAGCTAGTGTGAGTAACGTAGCTTCAGCAGTGCCAGGGTAACACCAGCCATGGTAGCAAAGAAGCAAATTCCCCACAGCTGGATTTGCTTTACAGCATCAAAAGCTTTTCTGTGTCTGTCTGCCTCAAGTCACCATTTACACTTTGCTAGCCTTTAGGGTTCACTAAACAGTTGATGAAACATGGTGCAAGGGAAATGGAGCTAATACCGCAGGACAGGTAGTGGTACTGAATTTAACTACTCTTCAGTTCAGTTACACCTTTTATTAACTCAAGGAGGTGGATATGTACCTTCCAGTTTACTCTATTCCTACCTCTTGTTATCCTCTATTTTGAAGCTCTGAAGTTCAAGCATTCTCTGGCTTCTCTGATCATTTTGGATACAGCAAATTATTTTCCTTGGTTTTGACTCAGTTTTTTCTCTGAGGTTGTTACACTCATACCTGGCTGGCACAGAGCAGCACTCACCCTTTCTGGGACCTCTATGCTCTTCTAGGGTTGGGATTTCTGCCCACAGATCCATATGGCAGAAGCTCTCCAACTTTTTTCAGGAGTCTATTCCACCCTTTGTGGGCTAAAATGTTTTTTCATCTTCTGTATTCTTCTGACTACTCCAGTTTAATCTGGTCACTTTTTCTAGGTTCCCATGAGCTGCTGCTACATTACTAAAAGACTTGCAAAAGGAGCTGCTGGATTTTTTTTCTTACTTTGAGAACACAAACCATGCTGTAACCATTTAAAATAGCTTTTACACAAGAAAACTAGTTAAATATATTAAAAATCAGAATCCAGAAAAGATTTAGAAATGGACTTAGAAATGTGCAGGAACTGTCACCAATTACAAGCAGAGGATTGTCTGAAAGGATCTGTAGATCACTGGTTATCCCCAAAAGACCCTCTAACAGCGTGTGACGAAGGCCTTCAGCATAAGGCCAAAATCACCAATAATTATTTTGCATCTCAAGAAGATAACAAAGAAGGGGTATATTTTTGTCTTAATTCCCTACCGTTGCAGCAACTAAGATAAACATAAGCAGCTGACTCAAGGGCTCAAGCCTTGTGCTTTAGACGTCCTTAGCAAATTCAGCTGCAGGAAAACTCCAATCTTTTAATATTAAATATGATTGTTTATTTAACCCTGAATATATGAGTAAAACAGCTAACAGGTTTTCTAATGAAAAGCTCAGTGTACTGTACTGGGGTAGGGGGGTGTTTGGCTTTTTTAGCTGGAGTAGTTCCTAAACATTTTGGATAGAAGTTAAAAAAAAATAAATATTGGAAGCCAAGTTAGAAATTGAGGGAAGGTTGCCATGGGAGGGAGGTTCCTTCTCAGCTCCTGCAGGCGGTGTACTGAGGCACAGAACTGTCTCCGATCTGTTCTTCAGACTTTATACAAGAAGTCTGGAGATGGGGACAAATGCTCTGGACCGTGGTTCTTAACTTCTGACTCCTGCTGTATGTTCTCTTCCACGATCATCTTCCAGTCTGTCTTGGAAACGATGTAGGTCCCTTGCCTGTGCTCATCTGTTTGCAAGGTTTTTCCATGACCTCACCCCTCTCCTGGTTAGAAGCCTAATTTCCAATTTGAGCTTATTCGTGACCTATTTTTGATCTTCTTTAATTGAATATTTCTTCTTCTGCCCTTTCCCACCTCTGAGTCCCAGCTATTGCATGTGATAAGTAGCCCGCTGGCATGGTTTTCTGTTGCCACAAGGGCCTGGCCAGTTCAGAGCATCTTTGCTGTTCGAAGGACATCAGTTGACATATGGGCTTAAACAATAAGTGCCTGTTACTACTAGCTTTTCTAGCACCCTGGAATTTTGTTCCTGAGCTTCTTGTGTTGAGGAAGCATTTAACAATACTCATCCCAGTTCTACCAATGTCACACTGAATTTCTGAATGCTAATGTTAAAGATTTTCAGCTGGTAAGATGTAGCCCCAGGACTGGCAGCTCCCTCCCCTCCATCTGACTTTTCCAAATGCCTTGTCGAAGTGCTAAGTAGTTTTGAAGAATCAAAGTTCTTTTCCAGGGGAAAAAAAAAAAATTAAAAAAGAGAACCCCTCGTAGCCCAACCACTTGTAGGCAGCTGCAATAAAAATGCTGTGCCAGCCAGAACTACTGTTACTGTTAAAACATTCTGGGGTGAACATGTGCACCTACAGAGTAACAGAGCAAATAAAAAGCAGATGCCTTGTTTGGCCCTGCTCTTCTTGTGAACATCACTACTCTTTGCTTTTGGAGAAGGAAAATAACTATGTCTGCAGCCACTGATGAGCTAAAGGAGAGCAGTTCTCTTCACGACAGACACCATTTGTTTTAAAAAAGAAAAAAGCCTCCCTAACCTACAGGCAAAATATGATTCTGAAGCACGACTCCTTTCTGAGAGCTGGTTTGCTCCTCACTGCTGTCCTGCTGACAGTCTGTAGCAGCAGCATTTTTTCCCCGCTCAGCTGGCTGAACAGTGACAGCTTGACACCTACAGTGAGATTCAACACTGAGCTCGCAGGATGGGAGGGCTGGGGAGGGGGCGGGGGGCAGACAACCCAAGGCACAGGTCAAAGGGCAAGTTCAAGTTCTAGTGTTGAGCTTGTACATCCTGAGCTGCTTGCTGGCTGTAGGTACAAGCTCAACACTTGCAGCCAGTACTGGGAGTAGGGGAACGGCCAGTACGGGGATTAGTGAAAGCAGAAGTGTCTGTGGCTGGAAACCTGACCGACAGCAGGTGGAGTCGGACGGCACCTCAGCAGTGCAGCCTCTGCTGCGGGGGAGGGGGCTTACTTTTGATGTTTTTGCATTTGGGAATATGTCTCTCAGCTACTCGGGGAGCAAATCGACGGCTGCAGTAGGGGCAGGAAACGTAGTCTGGGTTTTCGATGGGAGGCAACGGAGGCAGGTCGGACATCTTCCCTCCCTTGGAGAGTGCTTGCTGCACCTGGTGGGCCTGCTGCACAATCTTCATTAAACTCTCATGCTTCTGTTTCCAGTTGCTCTTTATGGGTGCTTTATCCTGCAGAAAGGAAAGGCAATCAGAGTGACTGACACCACCGTCAGCCTCCATTTTCAGTCTTGTGGTCAGGGTCCAACCCAGGTCACCTGTCCCTGGGCATTCCCTGTTGATGTAAAACCCTCCCTGGGAATCTCAGTCCCACAAAGACAAGCACCACGGAGGACTTTTGAAGAAAATACTGGTGGAGACATCATTACTTTGAAAGAGCTTGAGAACAACCAGAAAAGCAGGCAGTAGGGCCAAAGAACTGGGGAGGGTTGCTAGAGCTGCTTTGCAGGAGCAGAGCTGCATATTTCCACTGACTTTGTTTCAACAGCCTGTGTTATCACCTGGATTTTTGTTCAGTTCCCTGCAGCCCCAAATGTCACAGAGCTCTACTGCAGCAAACCCAGTCTGCATCCTGAGCACTCCTCACTACAGCAGGGAGTGAGCTTTCTCCAGGAGTATACCCCTGACATGTTACAAAGACAAGTCAGGCTCCCCCTATTTATTAGATTTTAAATGGATCTATTTTTCCATTTAGCGAAGAACCCTTCAGAGACAATAGCTGGATTGTGTCTTTTTGCTCCTGTACACATGAAGGCGCTCACATCTCGGTCAGAATTCAATGTCGGGATGGAAGGAACCCAAGCAGTAGATGTGGATTGAGGGAGGGAAAGGACTGTTTATTACCTGAAGGCTCTCTGAGCTCTTCAGATGCTGATACCGTTCCAGTTCTGTGCCCCTAGCTCTGGCTTTTCTGGAGTCAAACACTTTCCTCTGAGATTCTTGGATCTTGCTGCAGATACTCATGTGCTTCTCAAGCCTGGCACAGAGAAACTTACGTCCACATAAGCTGCACTGTCCAAGCCTCTCCTCCTTTACAGCACTGGGAGGCTGCCTGTGCAGCACCTCTGCTGATGGGTGGTCACCAGAATCTTGGTCTGCGAGGGTAGAGGGAGAAGGGGTACGTTTTGGGGCCAGCTTTGAAGAAGAGCCTAAACACTCCATGGATATACAGTCTTGAATTCTGCTGTTGCTGGCCACCAGCAGCTCCTTCTTGAGTTTCTTCATAGCCAGCTCTTGGGGGTGAGGAGTGGTGCCAGGCTTAGGGATAGTGGCCTCTGCAGACTGTGCCCCACCCAAGACCCTGTCACCTGACCTGTCTGCAACTGTGGAAGTTTTCTCTTCAGGGTGCCTTGTGGCCTTTCGCTCAGGGGCCCTCTCTTCTTCTCCGTCTGTCCTTTCCTCTGCCTTGGAAAGCTCCTTTTCTTTTTGAATCCTTATAAGTGTCTGCTGTGTTCTCCTCAGCTTCTCTTTGAGGATGGCCTTTTCCTTTTCAATTTCCTTGTCCGTGTACTGTATATTTGCCTCCAGCTTTAGGATATAGACCCACTGTCTCCTGTGCAGATGGAGGGCTGACTGTTCAGGCCCTGCTGTCCAAGGACAGAACGCTGCAGGTAGCTGAGACCTCTCTGCTGAAGGCTTGACTTTGCTCATTGAGCCAGGGCTACTATTTTGAGCTTCCTCCATGTATGGGGAATGTATAGGCTGTGCTGTGTTGACCTCTGGAACACTCACAACCCTGTGCTGAAAAATTGGTTTGAGGGGATACGCACGGTCCACTCCTTCTTTCTGTCTGGGTACTGATTTAACCGGCAGAGTCTTGGTTTGGCTGGCAAGATACTTTCTCTGCAGTCCAGCTGAAAAGGAGCCTCCATAGCTGGAGCCATATTGACTGGTTTCTGCAGACTGAGAATATGAATAGCTTTGGCTCTTCTGGGCACAGAGATCATTTAAACTTTCTCTTTTGTCAGATACGAGTTTATGCTGCAATTTCTGCTGGTGTTTCAGCTTGGAACTGGGAACAGGCTTAGAAGCTGCCACCACAGAATCCACTGGTGGAAACAGAGCCATTCAGCACCTGAGAAAGAGCCTGAGGTTAGAAGCAAAGTGATTACACACTACCTTATTCAAAACTGGACAAATTTTCTCTTGGCGGTCTACACCTGGAAACTACCATGAGGGGCTATAGTGAATATTAGCAATAGTTTTGTAACTTTTCTGGGTTCTGTAAATCTTTACATTCCTTCTATCTAGGGAGCTCCCGTGCTGCCTTTTCCAGTCCCAGCCGGACTTTATGCAGCCAGAAAGAAGACAGGCTTTTGTTTTGCGTTCTGACCGAGCCCGGTCTTATCATGGTAGCAGCAGAAATGGGCTGTACTGCCAGACAGGCTGTTGGACTCCCCGAGGTGTTTCCCGTAACGTGTCCCTTCGGCGCAGGCAC